GGGTTTAGTTTAGGGTTTTGGGTTTTTTTTTCCGGGCGTGGCTCGTGTCTTCAGACGCGCTCCTGAATTCAAAAACATGCCCTCACATGTGAGGCCAGTATGAGGACCGTGCACGCAGTACCGCCCGCGTAGGTCCGATTAGCGCGGAGTCCCAGCAGACCAGGCCAGCACAATTGCCGAACTGTACAAGGCTCTCCTTGCGCTGGGCTCCAATCTGTGACGCAACGGCATGTGCCAACAGCGCAACGTGCCGATCGCCCTGTACATCCGCTCCTACTGGTGGCATCCATCCGGACTCAACTGCATGTACCCATGTTCTCACAAAGGGCGGCACTTGACCAAAACTCGCTATGGTTGGCAAGCTAGTCAGTGGATCTGGGACATCAGGAATCTGGATGCAACGTTCAGACACGGCAAAACTGTGCGTGGCCCACCACGGTGCCGGCCCGACCAACGCGACCGGGGGCACACACAAATCAGCAACCTGCTCCGCTGGCTGGCCCGCCTCCCAGTCAGCTTCGTAGTACACCTGGGCGCAACGGCCGGATTGCCGCAAGTGCTGACGGAGTCTTTTTGTCGACCAGTATTGCTTCCTGCATACTTCACATGCCGTGCCAAAACCATGTGAGGAATACGCAGACTGGCCGTGCCGTCGGGCCATATGGGATCCCAGCGCGGCCGCCGTTTGGAAGCCAATCGAGCACTCGAGGCAGAAGTGCTCCCGGCATGCAGCAGACACAGCTACCGGAACCTTAAAGTAGAGAAGCCCATCCTTCTCCGCCTGAACATGCGCACGCGCTTTGCAGAGAGCTGGCTCAGCAAGGGAGGCCCGACTCTGCACACAAAGTTGGCTAAACCGGCGTAGAATGGGGCGCACTTGCTCAGGTGAAAGGGACAGCAGCTGAGCTCCCCCGGCAGGGGCATCAGCCTGGACACTCAAGGCAGTAGACTTGGTCAGCGCGGCAATGCGACCAGCAGCCTGCGAAGCTTCAGCCAGCCACACCGAGTCAGTCACGCAAGCCCGCAAGTAGCTATCACCCTTGGAACTGACATGAGCTAACGCCCGGACTAGGGCGATATCAGCAGCCTCTCGCGGGGTGACAACTGCCAGAAGGGAGCAAACCTGAACATCAGTAAGCCTTCTGCAGGGCACGCCATGCAGCGGCCTGACGGCTGCACGCACCAAACCAAGGTAGCGGCTGGCAAAGAGGCGATGGGCCTGCTTGCTGGCCAGTTCCAAGGTGCCCAACCCGTGCAGGAAGCGGGCAAGGATAACAGCCTTAAAGAGGTTTTGCCTCTCCTTGCATGTCAGATGCTGGTTGGCGAGGATACGCCGCTTGAAGTTTTGGAGTTTTTCACGGGCAAGGCGATCCCTCCGAATCACGGCAGCCTCACAACCTCCCGAACATCCACGCACAGTGCCGAGATGCACATACTCAGGGACACAGCGGAGTAGACACGCGGAACCATCCGGGAGCGCAACCCTGATCTGCCCAGCACCCTCAACAAAAAGAGCCCGCCTCGCAGCATCGGACCCCTTGCCAACCTGTACAAGGACAGCCTCGGTCTTGCCCTTTGCATAGTTTACAGCAACGCCTGTTACCGACAGATACTGGTGGGCCAGCGCCGCTGCACGCGCAAAGGCCGTGGCACAACCAGCAGCCTGGCCTGCCTCGACAAGGATGGCAAGGTCATCCAACCAGGACTGCGGCAGGGCCCACACCGTGCCACTTGGGCTACCAACACTTGCTGCTATGCCTTCAGAGCAAAGGTGTTCAGAAAGGCAACGTACAGCTGCCTCCGAGACAAACTGATACAGAATGTCTGCCAGGGGTGATCCGGGTGTAGTCCCCCGGCTTGTGGCCTGAACCTGGCAACTATCAGCATCAACGACAAACCAAGTAGCGCCGAATGCTGCCTGGAGAAGCTGTTGCGTGCCGCGAGGCACACCTGCGCGATCGAGGGCACCCTGATCGGAAAGCGCAGCCGCTACACGTTTCCGCACTTCATCTTCAAGGGGCAGGCTGCAGATGTGGGTGTGCAGCTTGCTCAAGTCACCAGTGAACAAATGCTCCCGGTGCACAGCATAGAAGGCAGAAGTGCCGTCCAGGAAGAGCACCCCTCCAGAGAGGCCTTGTCGCTTCAACCGGGTGAGGTGACACTGAGTGCTGAGAGCAGCAAGCTCAGTAGGGTGCTTGACTCGCGCCCCCCCTATGGTCGGAAGTGCCACCGCCTCAAAGCCTTGGCTCAAGGCTGGCCGGGTCGCTTTGAGAAAGCCTTTGGCAGCCGGTTCAGCTAAAGCGACGGACCTGTAGCCAGCGACAGTCCTGGCCGATTTGCCTGGTTTGGGAATGGCACACGCTAGAATCCCCGACCAAAGCGTCGGGAAACACCGCCTACTGTAGATTTTGAGGAGGAGCGGCATATGTGCCATGGTGGCAGCAAGTGGGCACTGGCTGTAAAGCTCTGAAGGAAGCCCAGCAATACCGCTAGCTTTGCCCCTTTTAAGGGAGGCAAAAGCTGCCGCGATTTGTGCTACTGCTGGCACCTCCTCAAGGCGACACACCTCGCCTTCCGGCACATCCACCTGGTGAACAACGTCACGAAGCTGACAGGCCTGTGCACCTTCAATCCCGGCGAAGTGTCTGGCGAAGGCCTCCTTAACCTGAGCGGGCTCATCAACTAGGCCATCAGCAGTCTCAAGCTCCAGCGCAAGATGCGGAATCCTGCCACTGCGCCCGCTCCGGAGCACCGCACGCAACTGCTTAGCGAGAGCCTCGGGACCTTCCTGCCTAGCCTCAGCGAAACGCCGTCGTGTGAACTCCGCATCATCCTGCTTCTGCAGGTCCCTTGCTTTCTTGGTAAGCTCCCGCATACAACGCATGTGATGAGCAGCGCAAACATCGAAAGCACGCACGCGACGGCCTGCAGCAGTGCCGCCGGCGCCCTGACGCCAGCCCACAAAGCAGCGCGCGAGCAACCACCTGCTGAAAAGGAGGCGCTGCCGCCGGAATCGCCGCCTTTGCTGCCTGCGGTCCTGAAGAACACCCCACGTCTGCGGCGTAATCGTGGGCTTTCGCGGGCGGACACTTTGAACAGGGAAAAGATCAGCAATGCCCCGCTGCAAGTGGTGATTAAAGGCAAGCAGGTGGTCATTGATGGATGTGGCCCAGCCTGGCTGGGGCGCTGTGGCATATAGTGTATGAAGCTTAGCGCGGCCTTCAGGCCCACACATGGCATCCCTGTCTATCTTGGGCCTTCCAGAAACATGTTTGCGGAGCATAAGATCAGCCTTGGCAACGATGGGCTGGTGGTCAATATCGGCATGCTCATCAAGGATCTTAGTCACACCCACGTCACAGAACCCATCGCTCCAGATGGACGGCCAGACAATGTAGTCCAAACACACAGCAGGACCTTGCGAGCCTGGAGGGCTCCAGGATGGCCGGGGGGAACCATCAGGATCAAAGGCAGCAGACCTGCACAGTCCAAAGTCCGCAAGGACCCGCTCCAACTCCTCCGCATTGCCATTACAGGGAACCTCAACGCTGCCATCATTATTGTAACGCGCGTTCGCGTCGAGCAGGAGTATGGGGGCAACCTGTGCTGGGAGGGCAAGCAGCCTGCAACGTAGCATATCCCACCAGCGCTGTCTATCAGCCAAGCTAGACACCGCCGTAGGACAGTGCCCAGAGAAAAAGGCAAGCTGGACACCTCGCAGCCTGGCATAAACAACCAGAAGGCGCGGATGACGAAAAGCAGCCCTAAAGCTATGCAGCTCCCACCCAAAGCGTTCCTCCAAGCAAAACCAGAGCTGACAACCCAGGCAGCCTCCCTCAGTTTCGCTTGCAAAGCGAAGAGTGCGACCAACGCGCTCGTGCGGCGCTGCAAAGACCCGACATTCTTGAAGGCCTAAAACAGCAAGCCCTTGGGAGGAGCTGAAGGCCTGCAAACAGTGGCGCTGAAGGTTGGAGGCACAGGACAGAGTATTATATGTGGCCAATGGGATGACAAGGTGTTGAGCCTCATGCGATTCCTGAGGCACCTGGCCCCCCCACTGCTGCGGCTTACTAATCGTTACTTGATCGCTCCTGACAGGCATCGGTCTAGTAGAGCATTCATCAGCAAGGGCGGGCAAGGAGGGATGACAGCCAGCGGCCTCAAAGAACCAAAGCCAATTAAAGGCTCGCTCAGCCACATAATCGGCGAAAAAGGCATCCCCCAAGGGGGCGCGGCTAGTCGGCTCATCGATGGCCCTCTTTGCCACAAAATCTGCCAACTCGTTGCCAGGGTTACCACTATGACCTTTGACGTGAAGAAAGGCCGGCACGTAACCCGTAGCCACATTATATGCTGCGACCGATGCCGAGGCCTCACGAAGAGGCGTAGCAGCACATGTCTTGGCAGATCCCTGGGCAACCTGGGCGGCACCCTCACAATCGTAGCAGAGGGTGGATGGAAGTCGGGCAGTTGCCACGGTGCAGGAGGCAATAAGCTGTGCCATAAGCTCACCCCCGAAGGCGTCCCCGGTGTCCAGCTCGGCCGGGACAACATCAGCAAGATACCCCCACAGCCTCCATGTACCTTGGCGGCATGCAACACAAACTACTGCCCAACTACCCTGGCCGCTCCCAAACGAGCCATCCAGAAAGAACATCAGGGCCTCAGGCACACAGGCTCTATCAAAGCGTGGAAGGCCACCAACAAGTTCCCGGGCAGCGGGATGCATCGCAGCATGCGGGCCTAGATCAGCCCGATATTCGTGCAGCCTGGCCCCAGAAAAGGCAAGTGGGACGGCATCAATAGGCACAGGGAGCTGCAGTGCAGCCTCGGAGGCACGGCCTTGACCAACATCAGGAAGGGCGCGGTCAAGGCACAACGTTTGCCGGGAGACCTTAGCCTCAGGTGCAATTGAAGGGAGACATCGCCGGCCGCCTGGGGTGGGAATAGAGACATGCTGTTTCACCTGGACCTTACCTCCACGTCTCAAGGCAGCATCAAGTTGTAGCAAGCATGCTCCCTCCGGTTCAGAGCCAGCTTTCGGTTCAGGGGGACCTGAACCGAGCACCTTAGAGGGGTCCACCTCATCCTCGCGTGGTGCAGGAATTGGCGAGGCCGACGACAAGGTCGGGCTATGGGTGTGTGTCTCGGGGCATACAAGGGTACCATTATCACAAAGACAGTGCCCTGAATCTGGATGCAGGGCACGGAGTTGCTGGCATCTGCGGACCTGCCTGACCTCATCGGACTGCACACGGGCCATAGAGGTGCGACTCCGCGGCACCACACGCCCGGAGGGGCTCAAGGTCTGCCGTTCAGGCGGCGGCGGCGGCCTGACATGACGAAACAGAGGCCCTGCGACTGTTGCCGGGAGTATATAAGTTACAATGATCTGGCCATGGTACCAGCGCCCCCTAGGCCAAAGCACTCGCTGTTGCGGATCAAGAGGCAGGTAGCCTAAGTCCTGTGCCAGCGAAGTGAGCAGGAGCACAACAAAATGCCCAGGACTCGTCGGCATCGGCAGAAGAACGGTCCGAAGGTCACTGTTAGGCATAGCAGTGGTGAAGATGGACCTGCCCGGCCTTTGGTCAGTCGTGAGGGAGATTGCTAGGTACATCCGGTGGAATTCCGGGACACGCTGCACAGCTTCCCTCAGCTCCTCCACAGTTGGAACAAGGCCCCCGTCCACACGCAGGCGCACGGGTGCATGAGCCGGGCCCACAATCGTGGCTGTACCCTCCTGAGCTAACCAAACCCTTGCCGCCCTCCGACGCTGCCTAACCCGCTCAGCGAAGGAAGTGTCTCCTGCCGCGCGGCGAGCTTGGAACGGCCACCCATAAGCTTCCGCATTAGGAACCAGATCCATGATCTCCGATGTAGCCGTATGCGGGATGAAAGAGTTGGCTTGGCCAATCTGCAGGTAATCGGCGTCAAGGACCTGGCGCTGGGCATGGTGGTCAGGAGCTCCATTGACCAACACAGAGAGGCCGTGCTGCCTCCACTCTGCAGGCAGGACACTTTCAACCGTGCGAATGCGGTGTGTGGCCTCAACCGCAACTGCACCGAAGTGGGGCCTGGTGTCATAGACTGCATGTGCCTGGTTCGGATCATCCGGTGACCACGCAACGAAAAGTATCTCTTGAATGTGTCCTTCCGGCGGCGGCTGTGCCTTAGCGAGCATGAGCATTGTCTCTCCTTCCGTGTTTGGCTCAAGCCGCTGGAGCTCCAGCAACAGGTAGTGCAGGTACATATCAAGCTGAGTGATGGGCCGAGGGAGGTCTCTATGCACCTCCTTGCCGACCGACAAGATGCGGACCCGAAATATCTGCTGCGTAGGGCCAATCATGCCAGTGGTGGTGCTCGTAGTGCCAGCGAAACCCATACCGCCCGGGAGCAGGCGATACGGTGGCAGGCGAAGAGTGTCCCCCTCCGAGTGGCCGGCACCCCATCCCGACATCTCAACACGGAGCACCTGCAACTCCGTGAGGTCGTCGGGGAAGTTTCCCTGCATGATGCCAGCGACATCCAGGACCACAAACCTCCCCGTGAGTATGTGGAGGGCCACATCCGGCTCCTGAGGGAGTGTGGCTTGCAAATCAGCAGCAGCCTGCGCCAGGGGTTCCCCCGAGAAGTGCGCCACTGTTCGTATTGGGAGGCCCACAGACCTACCATCCCACGGCACTGCCATTCGATCCCTGGCATCAGTAACGAGGGTGAGGACTAGCTGTGGTAATGGCAAGCCCTGCACTGGATCCATAAGCAGTTGGACTGCCCGAACGGCCTGCGGGGCTGACTCAACAGCCCGCTGCACAAATTGCTGCACCTGAATTGCTCCTTCAGCCCGCAAGACCACATGATGGCGTTGGCAGTCGAAAACAGTAAAAAGGTGAGCAGTGTCATCCTCAGGCTTGCCCCACGACATTTGATGCACCACAACGGTGGCTCGCTTCGCCACCCCCAGGAGAACTGGCTGGGGCGGCCAAGTGTCAAGTGCGGCCTTGGCAGCCCACGGATGCTGAAGGGATAGTAGCGAAGGTGGCTCATCTTCCCCAGTGGTCCCGAGAGGACCAACCGGCGCCCTTTGGTGCGGAGGGGCATACCAAAGCTCCGGCGCTGCTCGCGGCACCGCCTTTTCGCAGCACATAGCCTGGCCGTCACGAGCAGGTAAAGGCGCCAACATGTGACGCTCAATAACAGGCGTCCGCTGAGTCTGGGCACGCCCATGTTGCTGCAGCAAGACAACGTGATCAGGCTCCTGTTCATGTTCGCCCGGAGGGTCGGGCGCAGGCACAGATTGCAGGTAGTCCACAACCACATCGCCAACAGCCCTCGCAAGCGGAAAGGCCGCAAAGGGATGGCCTTGATCATCCAAGAGCATGTAAGGGAAACGCGGCAGGCGCGCCTCGGGGCATTGGAGAGCGCTAGTATGGCGAACTGCCCCTGCGTTGGTTCCCAGGGCGAAGGCCAGTGTGCAGATCCTGCCTTGAAGAGCTCGGTGGTCCAGAGGGATGATCAGGTGATCTGGAGGATCAGCCCTCGTCGCAATGGCTACCTGGGCCGCAGGAAAGCCGTGTAGACGGCGCTGCATCACGCGCACAGAGCGGAGGTTAGGAAAGACACCAACCAGGTCCTCAACTATGTCGTCAAGGGTGCCGAGACCTGGCAGCTTCCTTGTTTCAGCATGCATGGACGTCGAAAAGACCGCATATCTATCGTACTGCGACTCCCCAACCACAGCGCCCATGGATCTGTGTCCAAGGTACCACGAGAAGGAGGTGAGCGGTAGCTGCCTCAGCTCGGGCCTATCCAACTCCATGGGTGTGAGAGACACACGCTGCGCCACCAAACCCCGCACACCCGATGGCCTCCCCTTGGAAACCGGAAGTCCACTCGGCCGGCCAAACCCGTCGGCGCAGGAAAGCGCCTGCATGGAAAAGCCTGTCACCTGACCTGAGAGGGACAAGGGAGGCATGACTGGTAGATGGACAGTTTCAGCGCTAGCCACACAAGGCTGCAGCTGATGCGACAGGGAGCCTCCATGAGTAAGGGCCGCTGAAAACACCCGCAAGGCAACTGGTGGGCTCGCTGGGCGAGCAGCTAGGCCTATCATGGTGGTAACCTCCGCAGGGTCGGAGGGAAGCACGGAGCACGCACCAATGCTCGAAACGGCACCGACCTGGGAACCTTGTCTGGCATTGAAGGAAACGGCCAGTGCATGTCTGGAAGCCTGCTGGTTGAAACGACGCACAAGTCCAGACCGGAAACGCAGGGCCTCGGTCTGCGTGTCGGCAAAAGTCACCGGCAAGGGAAGGACGTGGGAACACGGGTGCAGGCAGGATGGTAGCCGACCGTGACTATGTACAGACACTGTACATGCTCCGCCCTCAGCGATGCTCTTCCGGCAGAAGCGCACCTCAGCAGCCTCAAGCTGGTTGCCGGCAATTGCCGTACAATCAGACAACGCTGTCGCAGTCACCCTGTCCAGCCTAGGACGTTCAACCCCGAGTCCTGCCGGCTCCGATTGGACACTGACATGCTGCGAGGGGCGACCGTCACAAGGCTTAACAGGGGAACCGGCCGCGTGATCCAACGCCCGGTCGTCCAGTGGCAGCCCCTCTGACCAGCAATCATCCAAGGCCAAACCAAATCGAGGATCCTCCAAGAAGGTGTGGCGGATGAAAGGCAGCTCAGCCATGGCAACCTCAAAGGATAGACTGACGGCAAGGTATGCCGCCAACTCCTTGGAAACGAAGGTGGCATCCTCGCGAATACTGTGTAACTCAACACCATTTAGGTGGAAATAATTTCGGCCCAAGCGATCCCATAGGCTCACACTTGGGCCACCCCAGGGGGAGGCCGAGTGGCCTCTGCCTTGGGAGCAATCTTGGTAGCTGCAGCCTCCGCCGCGCCTGGTGTGTCCTCGGCTGTAAGATCGAAGCTCTCCACCTTGGCGGAGCGACGCGGCGTCCTTGAGCCATCTCGTCGCGCGGATGCGGCCTGCTCCGAGGCCTGCTGCCTGATATTGACCAGAGCATTCCTGAGATTGTCTGATTTGGCGGATTCCTTCTCCCTGGCCTCCTTCCTGAGGGATTCCAGCTCTATCGCGTCCTCGACCATGGCGTCGTTCTCCTCCATCTCCGCCTCTTCCTTCTCCCTGCCATCCTGAAGGTCGTCCTTGGTCATCCTCTTGAGGTCCGCCCTGGCCCTCAGCCATGCGTCCTGTGCTGCTTGCTCTCTGTCGTCCAAATCGGAGAGCACTTGCTGTTGCTCCGCAATTTGGCGCTCCAAGAGCTCGGTGACCGAGGTGATATATCCAGACCATTCTTGCAGATACGTCGCCCGCAAGGTCCTGACACTGCTGAGCTCCTTGCGGGCAACGGACTGGGCAGAGACTGCTCGATGCATATTTCTCGCATTGTCCTGAGCATCTTCCTTCATCAATTGGTCCATAAGCGCCTGCGTCTCCGGTGGTATAGGGAGCTTGGCCGCCACCAACGATTGTAGGATAGCGTCCAGCTGCACCTTCTCCGGAGAAGGCCCCCCACTCGATGAGGCCTTGGCCGCGATGGGCGGCGGCACCGCGACCATGGGTGCCTTGGGAAGCGACTCCACTGCTGGTGCCGCCGGTGAGGCCTGCGGTATGGCAACTGCCTTGCCCTTGGGCTTCTCCTTGCCACCCGCAGCCTTGCCCTTGGCACCCTTCCCTTTGCTGGGATCTCGTCGCCTCCGCGGGCTCTGGGTGGAAGTCCTCTCCGACCTCCATCCATCCATCGGCCTTCCCTGTCTCGAAGGGGCCGGAGGTTGCCAATAGCTTTGCTGCTCCATCGCCTGCGACCAATGTCGGCCACACTTGCCACAGTACTCGGCCGTGGCCTTGACCTGTATACGACACTGCTGACAGCGCCAAGATTGCGCCATTTCTGCCACCATAGGGCCGGTTTCCTCGGACAGCCTGCTCAAAGCCAGCTGCGGTAATCGGCTCGCGGAATGGTGCTGTCGTAGACGGCCAACTGCACGCTGTACAGTTGTCCTGTGCAAAGCTCTCCCGTCCAGAAAGGATCGCAGAAGATGCCTCGCCTTGGTCCGACCCTTCCGGGCACGCCTGTGCCAGGCCGGTTCTGCAGTGAAGCGCCTCGTCACCACAAAGGGTCTGCAGCAAAAGGCTCCAACAGACCAAGATAGAAAACAGATTGCCTCGTCCCATGAGACAACCAGAAACAAAAATTGCCAGCGACCGTAGGTCGGGCGGGCCAGCTACCCGAAGGTAGGGCGAAGGCGAAGAACTCAGTTCCAGCCAGAGAGCCGCGTCCAGCGTCCTGCAGAAGGAGCAGCCGGGAAGGCACAATGTGGGATGAAGACACTCAAGTCACGCGCACTTGCGGACCGTGACCGAGCGGTGCGGGCTGCGAAGGGCACAGCAGCCGCGCAGGGGTCTTAGCTCAGGCCGGGATCCTTACGGAAAACTACCGGTCCTGAAGCCAAACGCCTAGGGTTTTGGGTTTAGGCATTAGGGTTTTGAGGGTTTGGGATGTCTGCGCAACAGCTGCATCGCACAACAGCCCTAATGTCATGACGCCTGGGGCCTAGGGCAGCACTCGGAACCTAAACCCCAAACCAACGGCCTGCCAGACGCGTCGCCAACTTGTTGACCTCAGGTTGCAAAGATGACCGCTAACTTCCTAAGATAGAGGCCTTAATAATTAGAATAGGGTTTTGGTGTATAAACCGTAAGCTTCCGCCCTAGACCCTCAACTCTAAGGGGACGCGGATTCGAGCTTGGCTTCGGGTTGAGGTTCTTCAGGGCTCTGCAAGCTTCACCTCGGGATGGATGAAAGAAACAAGTAATTGGGTTTAGGGTTTAGGGTTCAGGGTTTAGGGTTTAGGGTTTAGGGTTTTCTGTTATGGCACGTAATGTGGGTTTAAGGTTTAGGGTCCACGGATGGATGAAAGGAACAAGTAACTCTTTTTGAAATTTCGGACAGTAACGGTCGAAAAGAGGGCTACTATTCAAGGCCATATGTATCCAAACCTTATGTCAGTTACCCATTACAAGAAAATCCTACTCTTTGCTGTAGCTTCCCATTATGGTAGTTTAGATTACATTTACACTGTTTGAGAAGGGAGTCGCTGACCTACGGGTTTAGGGTTTAGGGTTTAGGGTTTAGGGTTTAGGGAAAGCATCAGTGCCGGAAAGGACACCTTGGAATCTTGTTTTTCCAGCTAATATAGAAGCCTGAGCAATTACCAACACTACTTCTTAGGCTTCACCCCCAAACCCTTATCAAACAACCCTAAACCCTAAACCCTAAAGACTTACTAAGGGCCCCTTATAAGGCAGGTAGAGCTCTCGATAATACTCTAATACTCTAATTATGTAGTGACTAT